ACTCTTATCCGTATTTATTATCCGGAGGCAGTTGGGACCTTTAACCTCCCACTCCAGTGATAAAACGCATGAAATCGGTATTTAACGTATCTGGATTTTGGGTTTAACTACATTAATTGCACGTTAAATAATAAAACCTCCACTCTTCAATTTGGCCAGTTGGAAGTTTTTAGATGAAGTGCACCATAGTAAGTAAATTGTACGAATAACAGGCGGCCATAATTGGAGATTTTTCGAGCAACATTGAAGAAGTTGTGAAAATTTGTGAGCGGTTTGCAGGTACTGTATACCGGTACTAAAGTAGTACAGTGTACTGATATTAATTACGAGTACTACGTAGTATAAACAAGATAACGACAAAGGCTAAAACTATTGTATGTCACCAAATACTGCAAATACCTCGATGGCTGCAAAGCAACCTCCTCAATTACGAGAGGCTAGGTACGCACACCCTATCTAACATTACTGTAGGTACCCGACTTCGCATAATCCACCTAGATGACCTACACTGTAAACCTGCGCGGAGAAACAGTGGGTCCGACCCCAGTTGTATTATATCGCCATAATCAGTGGATTTTGATATGAAAGGTCCGATCATCTACGAATAATACTGGGGTACTAAATTAGGTGACATGATTGGCTAGAACATAAATAGAATTATGTGATTCGCTAAATTAATCTCATACAAATATCATGTGAGGTCGGAGGTGACCCATTATTCTACCGTAACAACATTAAGAGCATCTGCACTGGTACCAGTAAAATCAACCTTATTGAAACCAATAGGCTGCCGATCGAATTGGTGACTTACTGCCAAATAACAATTTATTCCCTTCCAAAGCATATGTGCACAATTTGCAAATATGACACCATTATGGAACATACCAACCAATTTGGAAGGTAAACTTTATGAATGAAACATTGCCAAAATTTCAAAAGACTCTCTCAAACATAGTAAACGACAATCATGCTGACAATATAACTTTACCAATTAACTAACCAAGCAGGTCCTCCACTCCGAACTTTGGAGAGCACAAATTACAGCAAAATAATTGGTCAGCAACTGCAATGAAATTCCCGCCAACATGAATGGTGGCGACATAAAGCTAATCAAGAGCTCACAGTCCACTTCATTTGCACACTTTGCATCCTGTTCTCACCAATGCGCGTCGCTTCTATCATCAAATCCCTGCAAGAGCAGCGTGCTGTTGACCAAATTATTGGGGCAAAAATACCTCGAAACGCCACGTCATGCCGGATAAACATGTTTTTCCGGAGTGAAATCATCCCACCTTTTTGTTATACGGATACCTCTCGCTCAGATCGTACAGTACGTTGGGTACTGTGTTTGAATAAGGCATTTGATTTTTTCGTAATGGTTAACTGGCTTTTATTTCCAACTAACTTTTTACAGTAATCCGTCAACACATCCCCACGGCAGGCAGCATCACCTCGAGAACTGGTCGTGTCAACAAACTACCAGGTCAAATGAAAGGCACTCACTCTTTTCAGCTACAATCGGCTGAAATTTTATTCGGGCAATGCCACAACTAATACCGCATGTTGGGTTCACAAAACAATTCCCGTGCAAGCATTGAGTGTGATTTGAAAAGTTGGCGTTGCGTACTTCGCACCTGAAAGGGAAGTGCAATATCGCTAAGAGCGTGAAAAGAAGCTACAGTGCGCGTCATCTAATGCCTGTAAAAAAGAAGAGGTTATGAGGTCCGAAACCGCTCAAATCGTCAAATGACAAATTTTGAGTGAAATATAGCTCTATAAATCGATAGTTTAGCACAAGACGAAGGGACTAATCGAAGCCAATCGCGGAAATTCGCGAAATTGACAAAGTGTATCGACACCATCGTAACAATGGAATGGTCCCGAAATGAACCAAATTTGACGCGGATATGTCTCCTAACGCGACCATTGATGTGCCGATTTTTCTTCATTTTCATGTTCGAATATTTCAGTTGTTTTTTCGAATCCTCCCTTGATACATACATTTTTGGATGGATAACGTTGAGCTCTTTCGAATGAGCCCAAAGTATATCGATTTAAACAGTTTAGGATTGCACAATCAAGTTTTGAAGTTGAGTACTTTACACAGGGCGACCATTGATGTGCCGATTTTTATACTTGAGTTACAATCGGCAATCAATTGGTCGGCCACGTCTGGATAAGCTATGCATTGCCGGATAATGCCTGCTGTATCCGGTAGCAGCGTACTTTCGCAGGGTATATTAATATTAATAGTACGGAGTACCTCGAAGTACTACAGTATTAATAGTAGGTTTTAGCAAAGATTCGCGATAAACTTCCAAGATTCGCGTGCTTGTCTAATCAATGTTGAATCACGCTGGAGTTCTGATTGGCTGGCTATATACTTGTCCTTTCTGTAAGAGCCAATCAAATCCACTCAAAATTGGATTAGCCAATAGCGTCGATTCGTGATTTGATTCGACAGGGTCTGGAAATTCGTATCGAAACCACAATACTAGTACTTTGAAACTGCATCGGTAGGCCAAACGAGGTAGTACTTCGAAGTATTTCGGAACGGTGTAGTAGGAGTACTTCGAAGTATAACATTAGTGTACTATTAATAACGTTAGGGACCTCTAACGCCTTAGAGAGTTTTCGATCACACTTTTTGAGATAGCCCCCAAAATACTCTGTAAACTAATAAACCAATAAACACGTTCTCCTATCTCAAATTCGATTTGGAGAATCAGCCGTTCTATCTCCCCAAGGCGAGGGAGATAGAAATCGTCCGGATAAAACCATCGTTACGTGTCATATGTATCCATGTCCAGTCAACGAAGACGATATATCGGTTCGACCATGCCATTGTTATATGTTTGGGTATGCTTCACAGTCCAAAGTAATGGTGATGGCGTTGCATTCTGATGGCATGGAGGTGAAAATTGTATCGTTCACAGAATCCGTACAGCCAGGGCTTTGCATCCTCAATCTCCTAATTTCACAGCCTCACACTACCGAAAGTGACCTTATTACCTTTTGAGTTGGAGATCCGTATCTACAGTCACCTCTGCAGTGGGTTAAGTTACTGAATACTGGGGCTAGTACTCTATTTCCTGAGCTTCAGATGTTGGAAGTTACAGTTAGGTTGACGCGGTCTATCAATGAGTACCTTAATTCCCTTATTCGAGTAGCTTCCACATCTGAAACGGGTGTTTTATCCGGATGCTGTCACGCAGTCAAGGTGATTGGCACTCTCTGATCGGCAATTCGCCGCCAACGTCATGGACCAGCTTCGTCGACACTTGCATGCGGCGCACGGACTGAATGTGTGGTACGCGACGGCCATGGGGCTGTGCGGCTGTCTGGGCCTCCTGCTCCTGGGCTTCATCTCGTACTGGTGCTTCAAGCTTCGCCAGGACTCACGGCGCCGTCGTTCAGTCGTGCTGCTGTCGAACCGGAACAGCTATGAATCGAGCCATCTCCTACAGCGCGCCAGTCTAGACTGGCCTTCCTCCATGACAACATCGTCAATGATGACGCTGCCCTTGTCGTCGTCGTCCACGTCGTTGTACCTGTCACCGATCCCAGAAGAGCTCCGAAGCATGTGCAGCGAAGACGTACGGGTCCATCACCATCACCATCGCTACCTCTCCTTCTCCTCACGCTCAACACATTCCTGGTAGGATGAGTTTGACGACTTCAATCGCGACAAAGAGTTCGTCCAGGACTTCTGCGACCAGTCCGAGTACGTCCATCTATCTATCCACTCCATATCCATCCCAAGGTACATTTCCTACTTACTCCATCATAGAGACTACGTCTGGCTCGATAAACCAGCGTTGTACATGGGCAAGAATCGATTGAAACGCATGTACCTCCTGGGGCGTGCCACGTCATCGCTGGCCCAGCTCACCAGCCGCGGTCGCTTGGGTGGTGGTGGCGAAAGCAAGCACGTCTTGTGCTCGCTCTTTCCGACCACCGCCGCCGCCATGCAAGCCGAGGACCTGTCCGCGCTCCGCGCCTTCTTCCATTACGTCCAGGAACAGTGCCCGCATGTGCTGCCTGTGCTGGGCATCCACTTGATGCCATCAGCAGACAAGGTGATGGTGCTCACGCCATACGTGCCCCAAGGCTCGCTCAAGGATTATATTTACCACCGGTGCAAGACTGCGGTGGTGCAGGTACAGTACTACCACAAATATATACTAGGTATAGATTGGGCTTGGAGAGAAATATATATATCGAGAGAGAGATGAGGTTTTGAGAGAATGTGGTGTAGATACCATACCACCATAAATACAGACGACACAGTACAGGCAAACCCGTGGGCCACTCGACACTGGCGCGGTACGGCCGTGACATTCTCGTTGGCATGCTGGAACTCCAACACGCGGTATGTATAAATATATATATATATATTGCTATATTGTTATCTATGTTTGAACCATACAATACATACATGTTCGCATCTCTTGTATTTGTATAGCACTCCTAGTAGTACATTGGCAGGGTATTTTAGATACTAGTATATATGTATTGCATTGTTGTCGTACCTTTGGTTGAACGAGCGGGGTTTTTTTTTATAGTGGGCATTGTATTGTACGGTGGACGGATATGTATATATACCGAGATACGGATATATGTGCACCTATTATATATATATTGAACGATAATATATATATATATTGAACCGAATGGGTAGGGGCTGGCGTACCCGCAACTCCAAAGCGGCAACGTGTTATTACACGGCGACCAGGCCACGTTGAGTGGCTACGAAGCGTCGTTCTTTCAACCAGAATCGCCTCAAGATGTTTCTCCAGTCACACTATTTGGCCGCGTGTTCTTTGAAATGGTGTTTGGCTGCGAATGGACTGCCAGCCGCCTCAATCCCGACGGCACGGTCGCGTACGGCACATTACAGCCGCCTACCGACCATGTACTACTACTACTATGCTGTGTTTTTTAGTATTACTAGTACTAGTAGTAGTCTCACGGATATGGGCTCGTATGTTCCTATGTGTGTAGGTGCACGATGTGTTTGGTGCGATATTCCAGTCGACAGCATCGACCGGTCCACCGCCTACGATTGAGTCCCTACTGTCTCTGCCCCTCTTTCGAAAGCACGCCCTGCAACGGGGCAACCGACCGACATTTGCAAGGCGGGATCAAATGCTCAAGACCGTCGATGGTGTCGTGGGGAAGCAGCTACCCAGGGATGCGGTGGCGCGGTCGAGATCGCAAGATGGCGCGCTGCCGATTGTGCTGCAAGTGGCATAGGAGTTCTACTCGGACGATTGGTGTGTGCTTAATATGATGTTAGTTACGATGTTCCTTTGCCTTGTGTACCTACTATCAATTAGTGTGTGGGTTACGTAAGGTGAGTCATGTATTGTGGTATTGTCGATTTGATTGTACAAATTTGGGGAGGGGGTGCAATCGAATCGCGCCGACCAAACCGATCCACAATCGATCTGATTGGTTAAATTTCATTGAGAAGGTTTTGATTGGTTAATAATTTTGAGCTCGCCTGAAGTAGCCAATCAAATCGATTTAAATTCCAACGAGAAACCACGCCACAACACGAAATTTCACTCGAAAGCACAATATATTCGATACGAATATCCAGACCCCGTCCAATCGAATATCTCGCCGCCTTCGAAGAATCACGAATCGACGCTATTGGCTAATCCATTTTTGAGTTGATTTATTTGATTGGCTCTTGCAGGAAGGACAAGTAGATTCAACCAATCACAACTCCAAAGTGATTCAATATTGATAAACTACGCGAATTTTGGAAGATTCACAATAATACCATGTACTATTATTATTCTAATAGCAGTTATTAAACACTAGTACTACGTAGTAACAGTTATTCGAGATTCGGTATGAATTTCGGCGTAGACCTCACCGTTCGTATGTGTATGCTTAATTTCGGCCAATGAATTGCCTATATGCTCTATTTTTACCAATCATTCTGAAGTAAACACTTTTCCTACAACATTTTGACCTATCAATATATTTTAGGCGACGAGCTCGTTGAACAGAGCCAGCCAGCCGCTCCAGAAGTTCAGCTTTTGGCGAACAAACAGCACCTAAAGGAACATCGTGGGATTTTTTCGACACCAGCAATTTGTTTGCAATTTTCCCTGTGGAATATCAAAATTATCTTGACGTTTGTAAACTATACTGCGAGCACTTTGGATGTATTATCCGGACGTTGACAGTAAAATTGCTATATATCCGGATGTGTTATGCTGGATCTAACAGTAAAATCGTGTTCTGGCGACATGGCGGAACCGCATGCGAAGACGGCGGGCATTCCGCTCCAGTACGCCAACAGCGGCGCGTCATCGGCACCCGTCAACCCCACGGAGGAGTCCTTGGCCGCGTTCAAGGACATCAAGATGAAGCGGAAGTTCCGCTTTGTGTTCTTCCGCATCGACGGATTGGCCATAGTGGTCGACAACGCCGGCGCACCGTCGGCGACACACGTGGAGCTGTTGGCGTCACTGCCGCACGCCGACTGTCGATACGTGATCTACGACCACGACGTCCAACTGCCCGATGGCCGACGCAGCTCCAAGCTGTATTTCCTCCTGTGGTCGCCGCCCAGTGCCTCCCCCAACCACAAAATGGGCTACGCCCATGGCAAGAGTGCGTTCCGCGCGCATTGCGACGGCTGTCTGGACATCAACGCAAGCGACATCGTCGATGTTCAAGCCGCCCTGGGACTCGCCACAGATGATGACGACGACGATGATGAGTTTTAATGACGCTAGGGTCTGGGGCTGGATCGAGCTACAGTACCATACACACTGCCATGTCTTGGTTATCACTCTTATCAGTAAGTATAATTACTAGCATGTTAACATTGAGATAGTATACCATTGCACAACCTCTCCCCATCATATTCTTGACGCCAGGAGTTGGCATTCGGTTATTCAGTTCTGAGGGAGTAGTGCGACGATTTGCAAGCAGTTTCTGCCTCCTTGAAGTACTTCGTTCAATCGCAACAGCCAATGAAAACGCAAGATACACTTATCACATATACTACTGGCGGATGCCACTTTGCGTCCCCCGCCAAGACATATGTCCAGCAACTACCGCAATTTTTTCGTCGAGTACCTTGGCCGTTTCGATGACCAGTTCCATTAGACAGCCTTGCAGTCCAAGTTCTGCCTTAGCCAACGGGTTATAGCCCCAGAAATTCAGACCAGACAAGTCGACTTGATTGCAAACTAACATTTACTTCCTCCGTTCCAGTATACCTGTGTGAAGTTACGCCAGAGACTCTAACTTTGGCTAAAGGGGGTTTCAGAGGGCCTAAATAGGCTCAAATCATAGAGAAAGGAACGCCCTACAGCCCAGTATTTTCAGGAGTACGCAGCTAAGGTGGCCACAGAGGTGCGAAGGCATGAGGTATAAGCTAGCTACGAATGGCTACCGACCGAGAAAACCTTAAAAACTACGTAACTCATTCATTTCTCATCGTTTGGCCCTCAAATCACGCGCAAACGACTCGTCTCGTTGCGTCGATATTGCTAGCTCCGTTGAAAGCCTTCCGGAAAAATTACCGGAAGGCTTTCAACGGAAGTTCACGCATGCCAAGGGACACGACCGGTCGTGAACTCACCGACGACCAGAGGTCGGCGGTGTACCATCGACTCCTGCAGCTCAAGAGCAACGGGCGTGTTGGCCATGGAGAGATGAAGAATCTGATGCAGTCCTTCAACATCAGTCAGCAAACCATCTCACGCTTCTGGCGGCGTGGATGCGAGACAGCAGCTTCACTTGGAGTTGCAAAGGTCGGCTCCCAAAACAAGGGACGGTGCGGGAGGCCACGCAAGTACAAGGACGAAGACGTTCGAAGTGCCGTCACCAGTGCACCAGCTCATCTACGCGACAACTACAGAACAATGGCAAAGGCCACTGGTGTCCCCAAGACAGCGCTGTGGCGTCTCGTCAAGGCGAAAAAGTTGAATCGGCGCACAAGCCGTCTGCGACCAATGCTCACACCACAAAATCGTGTTGCGCGGTACAATTTCGCAAAGTCGTTCATTTGTGATGGTTACCAAGGCTGCCGCCAGTGGCACGACGTGTTGGACTGTGTCCATATCGACGAAAAGTGGTTTTACATCACCCAAGTCAACCGAAGGTTCTATCTTTGGCACGATGAGCCAACGCCACAACGAAAGGCCCAATCAAAGCGTCACATAACCAAGGTCATGTTCCGTTGTGCCGTCGCTCGTCCTCGACATTACAGTGCACATCGCAAGATGTGGGATGGCAAGGTTGGGTTGTGGCCGTTTGTTGAGACCGAGTTGGCGAAACGTCGAAGCAAGAACCGTGATCATGGCACACCTGTTACTGTGCCGATGACTGTATTACCGCTTTGTCGAACGCATTATGAATAATATGTCTCAAATTTCGCCCAGCAATTTTCGCCCGACCTGCAAAATAGTATAAACGATTCAATTTAAGGGGTATTTATGTGTCTTATATCCTTCCTGTGAGCCAATCCGAAGGCAATCTTCACTCTTTTTAGCCAACCTAACAGCGCTTTGCTCAATTTGTGGGCGAGTTCAACAATCGGACAATTCGGTGACTACATAGCACAATCCATCCTGTCGCTAAAATAAAAAGCCATAAGGACTGGTGTGGATGTCAGTCACACTTGATAAAATTATGCCATAAACCGTTTTGGCAGGTCTGCAATTTTACCCCAAAGTCTCGTACTATCCCATGAAAACAAGAAGAGAAGGAAGTATTATTGTGGATTCGGTACAGATTTCCAGACCCCGTCGAGTCGCCAAATCAAATCACGAATCGACGCTATTGGCTGATCCAATTTTGAGTGGATTTGATTGGCTCATCTTATAGAAAGAACAATTATATTCAACCAATCAGAACTCCAACGTGATTCAATATTGACAACCCACCCGAATTTAGCAAGTTTATAGCAATAATAGCCATGTTATACCACATCCAGAAACCCAAATAAAAAAAACACTTGCAAAACCAATGCCTCCCACGTTTAATCATCCCCTCCCCACTCACTGTACACATGTCTTGTTGGGCTGTCCACTAGTACTACTACTACTACTACTACTATAGTACTCCAAGCCAATGGTTCTTATTCTCCACCCTTCTCGAATCCTATATATTAAGTGTCAGCGTTTGGCCGGTGCAGCCACCGACGGCGGTGGCGGCGTGGGGATGATGGTACTACTGGCCATCTTTTGCCTCTTCCGCTCTCGTGCCCGATCTCTCTTTTTGGCGGCCTGCAGCTGCGCCTTGAGCGTTCGTTCCGCCTCCGACTCGATTCGTTCGCGAGCCACACGTTTGGACTCGACCGCCGACTCCATCTCGCGCTTCTTCAGGTCTGCCGCCGCCTTCTCCACGGCCTTGACATGCTTGGCGTACAGGAGTTTCGTGTAATCTCGCACGAGTTGCTTGAGCACGGCCACCCCCGGACCACGTTTGCTGCATTGTGTGTCACCAACCCAAACAAGAATATTTCCAATATTATTCAGATATATATATACCTGACGAGCATCGTGAGCACTTGGCTGAGCTTGTCGCCCGCATACGCATCCAGCGGTTTGATCCAGTCGATCAACGTACTCAAATGCGCACACATGTCGGCGTTATCCCCGCCGTTCGTGTCGACACTCTTGGCTTTTTCAAGCAAAGCTTGGACTTCTTGCACGAGTTTGAGCCCCCGTTCGACGCGGAATCGATCGCTGGATGGCAGTACATTCGCTGGTGTCGGCTTAGAACTCGTGGCGCCAGAGCTTGTACCTCCACTGCCAACAACAACGGGCGGTGGTCGTTCGTCATTCACAAACTGACCCTATATATATACATACAATCTCAATATATTATCATCTCATTATCCGCAACCAAATATATATATATATATATCTTAAAAACCTTTAAAATCTTTTATATTAGGTAATCAAACCCCATGATTGTATCTGTATTGCCGACAGATATTGCCCTTTTACCCAAAAAATGTGGATGAGTTTTGTTCTTAATCGCGAAATATTGATCGATTACTTTGTACTGAATTTTGTATGTAAATTGGTATCACACTAAAAGTTCGACACGAATTTGACTTTGACGATGGTAGTTTCCTGGATTGTGATTGGCTAAATGTATCCTTCTACCGATGATTTTCTTGTGTCCATTTATATTGGGTACTGTCGATTTATTCATTCAGTCTCCATATGTCGCTCCAGTTTAGCATAAACACTGCAACATGTAAGTACAGTGAAACACACGAGATATGATAAATAATATTCAAGGCAAAGGGGGTTTGTCTAAATATATTGTGAATTCGCGATAAGGTTCCAATATTCGCGTGGTTTCTCCATATTGAGTTGTGATTGGCTTGAATATATACTGCTTGTCTCATTCGAGCCAATCACATCCAATCACACCGTCGTCGATTCAATCAGAAAGTCTCTCATCTTGTTTTCAAACGAATCTTCAGCACTCATCCACCATATATAATACAACGGGGACGACACATGTATCCACAACACATATCCTCTGATATTTTGATTCAAGTAGAGGGTTGTTTGTACCTGGTGGCTGTAGACGGCGGTGGTGGCTTGGACGTACGGCTGGATGCTGAAGCGGGTGCTTTTCGACACGGCCACCGCGCGGTGGTCCATGGGGAGGTGGCAGACTCCGCACAGAAGCGACACGGCTTGGGGCCACGCTTGTGTGGACGGCGGAAGCAGCGCGCGGCCTTCTGCAGTCCACAAAGGTGATGCTTTGGACGCCCGCGCCTTTTTCTTTCGCGATGATGCTGATGGTTGGACAGGTGGGTTGGCTTGGCAGGTCCAGTGCTGTACATGAGGACGCTGGGCGTGGGAGCAGAAGAAGCCGTGGTCGAGATGGGTCAGAGGCTCTTGGCACACGGCGCAGTACGCAAATGGATCGTCCGCATGTCGACCAAATGTCACGTGGAGCTTGTCTATCCAACCACCACTACAGAGAATAGATATGAGATATGGTTTAGACAGAAATGTATGCATAGGTTAAAGTTGGAGATCAAGCAATTACAGCAACAAACACTACCAAACACACACAACACCATCGAATGTATACATATATACATATTATTTATATGGAAACAACAAGGCATGGGAATTTGATATAACCTTAATATCAACTAGAATAGAAATTGGTTCGTGAACCGTTCACACAGCAACACACAATATCGATCGACCAATGATCAAAGCCGACCAACATGAATCAAGGTTGGCCACTCAAATCCTTTCAAAATCGAAATTAGTGTATGACTTGAATTAGTGTGATACTACGTTTCAAATCAGTACAACAAAACCGACCTTTGATGCAGTTGGCGAATCAGTACTGTTTTGTCCATATACATGCATGAAAAATTATAAATATAATCTGGATCACCCCCCGATGGTTGCCCAAATAATATTTCGATATTTTGCCAACTTTCAGAAAAAAAGTCCCTGGAACCTCATTTTTATTGTTTGGCGAAAAACGCGAAATTTGGCAAAATATAGAATTCTCTACATTTTGGATCCAGACAGAGAATTGCCAAAACATTGAAGATTTTGGCCTTTTTGACATCCAGTCTACTCAAAAATGCTAAAAAAAGCACTAAAATCAACCAGCGCATCTCAAGCCACATACATACACACACACTTACCCGAGGAGGTCGTGCAGCTGGATGGTGGTGGACGGGTACGTTTTGTAAATCTGGGGCAAGTGGTCCACGAGGATCTGCAGCAGCTGGAGCGACGGCAGCGACGCCATCGACGTCTCTGCGTATTTGACCAAGTGTTTGCCCAGTGCCGCCAGGTGATCATCTGGATCGGGAGTCGTCGACGGCAGCTTTCGAATCTCCCGCACCAGCTTGGCGTCGGCAATTAAATTGGACGCGACCAGTTTGGTCACGACGTCGTCCAGACAAAACTCGTGCATGGCGTGGCGGGGGCAGTACCCGTGGAAGGCGGCGCGGTGGCCTGCTTCGATCTCTACTTGGAGGAACCCCCCGCCTACATTAATGGCATATTTAGTCGTGACAGATATAAATATATATATGGTTGTGTGTTTCACTGGATATTATTGATATCGACACAACCACATGTGCAGAAAATAGCATTGAGCGAATCGGATTGCAGGAAATCATCCGTTCAACCAATCAATTAAAAAATAATTAAATCTAAAGTACTAAAAGTTATTAATAAAATATACACACAGTTCAGTACAAAAATTCAATAAATTTGCTTCAACACAAATTTCCAAATTATGGCGAAACGACAATATATATATTTTGACTTTGCGACGAAACGTCCGATTATTTCTATGCGCAAGTCGTCAAACCAATCGCAAAGTTCGCCGTGAGATTTCATATTTGCTTTTCCGATTCCCGCGAAAAACCACAAAGTAAACAAACACGATACATTACTGTAGCCAATCAGCGACAAGCGTTTTCAGATGATTGACCAATGGGAGCGATTCGTGATCGGTTGGGTCGGCGTGATTCGATGGAACGGGGTCCGCAAAGTCAATAATATACATATATATATATATATATATATATATGTGAGTTCGCAGTTCTCAGAATGGCTGTTTTGAAGAACGATCAAGAGTGGCTTGGATATATATATATATAGATGTACCAAGGTGGCGCTGGGGCTGGTCGCGGTGGCGATGGATTGGGTTTGCGTCTCCAAACCGCGCGCAAATCGCATGAAACCTGAAAAAGAAACATCGAATAAATAAAACCAATCGTTAAATATCTCCAAACGGAGCTTCAAATGTTGAAAAATATACAAAATACAGTCAAAAGATAGATATATCTGATAGGATACTACACAACGCACATGATATCTTTGATACGTCGAAGTATATCAATACTTTTAACAAATATTTCGTGAAATCTCTCCAAATCGGCGAAAAATGTCATAATAATATGATATAACGTTACTTAAACACATTACGTCAATATTAATAGAAATATTTCTTCAAATATCTCTGAAAAAGAGAAATATAATTCGATAAAAGTATTGATATGCTCGGAAAATCCACAAGATCTCAAAACCATCGTTCGGCGGTGTATCGTACCAGGCATTGCATTGATTCCAGTGACACTGGATGAGGTAGCCTTCGTTCCGGTGACAGATCATGCACGTTCGCTGGCGATTGTTCATGGGCGGATGGATCATCTGAAGGGGTTCCATCAGTTGCATGTTGGGCACCACGACGTCGTGGTCCCACCACACGCATAGCACGTGGACCCATTCCGGCAACGTCGTGACGCTAGGTGAACATGTGAATATGGAACGGTTCCTGGGTGGTCGGTCAGATACAGTATCATACCGTTGAATGCGGCGCAGCGGCTTCATGGCGCCGCCGTAGCGATGGCAAATAGCGCAAACCATGGATGACGGACTTTGGTTCGTCACGAGGAGCGCGTCGCAGCGTTGGCAGTTCCAGCTTCCCTTGGGGACGACGGGCACGCCGTAGCAACTCTGATGCACGGGGATGCCGCACATGTCGCAGTACACGATGAGATCGCCCGGCGTGCTCTCCCCGCCGTTGCACACACTGCACCACCCTTCGTTGATGCACAGATCCTCGTCTGGCACACATACGCGCTTCTGGATCGCGCTGTTGGTGCACGGCACGTCGTCAAACTCGATCGCCTTTTCCACAATGTCGTCCACGATGGACGTGACCACGGGGTTCTGCTGGCGATTGGGACGCATGAGACGCTTCCGCGGGATGGAGGTCTCGCGGAAGAGCGACAGACGCTTCTCCGGCGGAACTGTCGGCGGCGTTGCCTCGGTCCGAGTACTGCTGCTGCCCACTACGTCCGCCATAGTGTTGTTGTTGGAATTGGAATTAGCCGGATAATCATCCGGTAAAGCATTCATGAAAAAGGAGACGAATTTTATTCGGAAGAAACAATATGATTGGGCGACTTTCTTCAAATGTTCAAAAAGACTCAAAAACAGGGTATCCCAGAATTACAACTTGTTATAATGGTTATAATCATTGTTATAACCGTATATTTCCATCCTAACGTTCACTTTTGGCCTGCAGTTATAACAGCGACCAACACTTCCGATAAAAATTGCCCGAAACTTTGGTTGACTTTTGTGCTCATTCATTGCCAAATCTATATCGATCGATTCGACTTGGTCGTCCAGTATCACACACTAATTTCAATCACACACTAATTCGATGTTGACTTTTTCGAAGAGTGGATTGGATTGGCTAGTTGATTCATGTTTTGTATTTTGATTGGTCGATATATCGATTCTTCTTCGTCTGCTCCTTGAACTCGAATTTCGAATCACAATATTACTATAGTATATACAGTAATATGTATATATTAGGCGTCCTTGGGCATCGCATTGATGTCGCTTCGGTCCTGGACGACCAGCGCGCCATGCTTCTTGGTGAGTTTTTCCGTGAGCATGTCGCGGAACTCGGCCATGACGTTATTCTCGCGCTGCTGCTTCTCCTCCATGTTGATCAGCGCCAGCGCGCGCTTTTCCTCGGCCGAGTACACCTGGTTCTCCTTGCGGATGCGGATTGCATTCATGCGCTGGTGGCGCGATCCACTCATCACGTACCTGCGAGCAACATTAACGTAATGTACTTGAACAAGAATATCAATGTAAACACTGCAACGCTGCAACCCAAATGTTTGTAATAACATAATGTAGTCCTTTCTCGCATACAATATACAGTATTTGATGGACCAATACCCCCCGCTACTGATATCATGGATACGATATACATGTACAAACGAGTAAAATAACATAATGTACTTCAAGTACTCGACTCACATGATGAAACACAAACGATACCATACAGTGTATCAAAACGGACAACATTGAAATAACATAATGTAGTTCACGTACCCTGCCGTTTCCAGCTGTTCAATCTCGTTACCGCTCCACCCGACTTCGCCTCGTCGCGGGATGCGCATGTTCTTCTGGACGAACTGGGCAATGGCGGCACCTTCGCCAGGAAGAAGGTCGCGGCCGTAGGTCACAGAGGATGCAGCAGATGCGGCAGTGTCCGGGAGCGGCATGGGCCCGACGACATCATCGTCATGGTCGTCGTTGCCTTGGCGCGCCTTGGAACCCTGGACGGCGACCCGGAAGCGGTCGAGTTCCTCCGTGGATTGCTGGACCTGTGGAGGGAGCGGCTCGGGGGAGTCGGCGGCCTTGGCATCGGACTCGCTGGAGCTGCTGCTACTGCTGCTACTGGTACTTGGACTCCGTTGCCGCTTCTTGGATTTGGACGATTTCGACGATGACGCCTTGCGCTTGTTTCGACGACGACGTTTTCGCCGACGGCGGTCTTCCGAGGAAGAAGAGGATGAGGACGGAGCGGGGGACGGTGTACGTGGACGTGCAGCAGCGGACGCTTTCTTCTTGGCGACGACAGGTTCCGGCGACGGCGGGGATGGAAATGTCGCCCAGATGTTGTACTTGAGCGCTTTTCGATCGGCCACGCGCATAGCGAGGAAGGCATTGTCGTCGTCTCCACCGAAAGAATTCGGAGGGCGACGCGGAGCATACGACGATGGTGTTGTGGTACTGCCTCGATCTCTGCCAAAGTCGTCGCGCCGCTGCGAGCCATACCGGCTGTCAGGACTACGACTTCGTCGCCAAGACTCACGTCGAGATGAAGACGGAGGAGTTCGACTTCTTCGTTGGCGGTCAGGGCTTCTGCTTCGACGGCTACGACGGGCCTGTGGACTCCGGCTGCGACTGCGCTGATGGCGGCTCATTTTGTGGATCTGTGGTTCTTGGGTTCAAAATAAGTGATTCACAGCATACATGCTACTTTATGTCAAATTTAAAACACATAATACAACATTTGGGAATTTCGAACATATTGGATATATATTTAAATGCAAAAATTTCCGAGCCAAAACTGCTGTAAATGTCTTGCATTTCTAGTTTCACTGCTCCTTGATTCAAAATTAGTATACTAATTCTAAGCTTTGGATTCTCTACTATTGGATTAAAGGGTCAACAAAGCTGCTTATATAAGTTCACAATAACTGTACACATTCAAGATGAGCGCCACATTTGGCGGCGGCGGCGGCATCGCCGGGTTCCAGTACAAACACCTGCAAGCGAACGAGAGCATCCAAGCATTCCTTCGCTCATTCCTGCACGAGAAGCACCGGTGGAACGAACTCATTGAAGCCATGCTTCTCTATGGCATCCACTGCATGGCGCAGAACTACTCGCTGCAGACGCTCAACGTCGACCAAGTCCAGCACATCACTCGTACAACGTGCAATGTCCTGCTGTCCCACATATGCTCACTTCTCTTGGACCTGTAGGCACATTGCTAAGGAAACCGCATCATTACTTTGTCCATCAACAGAAAACGAATGCAGCAACGACGTCGACGACGTCCGCGTTCAAGCCGCCGTCTGCGTGGCGAAACGGCACGTCGTCAGTCGACGACGGTGCTGTCCGTAGTGGCGGCATCGACGACTCCAGCGATCCACTACCTCCACCACCAGCGCCATTCTCCCACGAAAAACAGAACCCCCCGAGTCCTGTGGTCCGCGATGGTCTGTCCCTTCTTCAAAGTTCAACTAAGTCCTCACATGCATCATCGTGTAGGTCGACGCGACATGGACGAGTGGACACACGTGCTGGGCAAACCTTGGGTCGACGCTGCATGGCGCGCGTATGTCGCCGCCACCGGCTACCCCTGTCCTTCCATCACCACTTCGTCCGACAGCATCTTGCACTCGTACGCCGACTTGATCGCTGCTACATCGTCCATTGTTGTCACGAATAACCACATCCACATCCCATCGAGTTCCCACCTCTCGTTCCTCGACTACCTTCGCGGGTTCGTCGTGCACTGCATCAACTCCCCCGCTCGTCCGTCGCCAACACCTCCATCCATCGCCGCCGCGTCCAAACCTTCCCCTCAACCACGTCATGCTCCTCCATTGCTGTCCTCTTCTTCCAAAGCAGTTCCACCACAAAGCAAGGTCAAGCATGAACTCGACCGACACAAGCAACATGTGCTGCGCGTGCGGAAGACCAACACCCAGCGCATGCATGAAGCACTCGCCCGATCCCGCATCGCCGCCTATGACCCCCCCGTCCGCCGTGCCGCGATGCCGCCTGCTTCGACGCCGTCCTTGGCTGCCACTGGACCTGGTGCGTGTTGCTCTATTAGTTGCTCTAGTAGTTTCTCTAGTAGTTGGTCTATTAGTTTCTCTATTAGTTGCTATATTAGTTGCTATATTAGTTGCTCTAGTAGTTGCACTAGTAGCTGCTCTAGTAGTTGTTCTAGTAGTTGCTCTAGTAGTTTTTGCTCCGTGGGGGGAGTTTGATATGGAATGATGTTCATGTTTTATCTTGAGGTTTGTATGGTGGTGGGGTGTAGGCGCCAAAGCTTTGGAAATCGCCCACGTGTTTGCCACGAGTCAGTTTATGCACGACTTGCCGCCATCGACAGAGAATGATGATCCCACAATGTACGTCGTTGTGGGTCTAGTAATACTAGGGGTACTAGTAATACTAATGCGATGTGGGTTGTTGGCGTAGCAATGACACGCCTGCCCAACGCATGCTTCGCACGGAATTGTACGGTCACCACGACCTCAACCCGTCGACGCTCCAGGCCACAGGCTGCGTCGCTCCACCAGGTACACAAGTGGAATTTTATATATATATATATATATATATATATATATTTCGATATATATTACGATTGTGTCCGTTGGATTTCCTGTTTTATTTCCTCCCAGGCATGGAATGTACATGTTGCGGGTTGTGTGTAGGTTGTGCGAAATATGCATTTGGAGATGTATATGCTTGAATATGGCGATATTAAATATATATTGTATATATATTGATATTATATTGACTTATATATATATCACATTGACTTGGTTACGATATAGCTCATCGGCAAGCAACGAACAATTTTGAATATATTATATATATTGTCTTGACTTATTTATTTTTTTGGTTACGGTATAGATCGGCGGCAATCCAATAGACGCAACGTACAACCCAATCGAATCCACGGTACATATTTTGAAATACAGAGATATATGACTATTTTATAAAATATCACGGGTTTTTGGATATTAGATTTCAAAGGGTGGTTGGGCGACTATGGACCGGCGCACACTAAGACGGTGGCGCCACCAGACTGGACGGATCTGGAGGACGAAGGCTCGGCGTGGCTGCAGGACGCGGCGAGGCGCCGCGGGTATAGCTGGGACCTCGAGAGGTACTACTAGTAGTAGTACTAGTACGAGTAGTACTAGCAACGTTGTATGCAGGATTCAACTCGAGGGCCAGTCGAAAGAAGGCCGGCCGTTCGATGAAGGTAGAAATTTGGATGGACATGGCGAAGCCAGTGGAGGGGAAGCCGAAGAGGACGATCCAGCGTTTGAATGGCTGGTGCACGACAGCAGCAACGCCGACGGAATAGCTTCGCAACACCTGCACGACGAGGGATAAATATCAAAGGAATATAAAATATCAAAGGAATATTTGTAATTGGAGTATATATAGAATTACGAAAACATTTTAATAAAAGCGTTTCGCGTCGATTAACATTTGTAGACCTAGTTTACGACGACACGATGGACGTGAGGTTGGGGAAGCGAGTGGGGGTGGCGGTGAAGTCGGAAGAGTGGACGGCGCGTTGGCGGAGGTTAGCGCGGAGGTCCTGGGCGTAGATGTCGCCGACGCCTTGCGCTTGCAGCTGTCGATGGATGGTCAGATGCTCCTTCTCCCATCGTGGGGACGGCCCGCACTTGGCAGCGCGGACGGCGGGTAGCAGCAGCTCCTGCAGCAACGTGGAGGCGTCGAGGTGCGCGGTGGGGGTGGCGGCGACAGTGGGGCGATACGCGCGACTGTGGTTGGATCGAGGCACGTGTTTTTGTCTACAGGACACACGATAAGATGGAGAAAGGGAAAGGAAAGAAAAGGACGTACCTTGCTTCGTCGCGGCGAATGGTTTCGACCCACGATGCGACCTCCGCTGCGGGGACATGATCTGCCACGATATCTTCCATGGCCCGCGTGATGCGGTTGCTGCCGCTCGAAGACGACGGGGCGTTGCCGAACATTTGAGACATCATGGGCATCATCTGCGACATCATTTGACTCAGGTCTGGCATCGCCGGTTGGGAAGGCGCAGCCCGCACGACGGTGGTGGCGCGAGGTTGGCGACGGGGGGCAGGTGGTGGAGGAGCTTTCACCTCGGCTTTCATTTCGTTGATCATGTCCTCCATCATTTCATCGTCAGAAGACAACGACATGTCGTCGAGGATGTCATCGGGGTCCATGGTCAATCACACACAAGGGCCGATAACAAATCACACTATAACAAGTTCCATTGAATAGTGTCAAACAGCGACTTCACACTATAATATTTTATAATGACTTAACCACGTGGAAAAACATTGCACGTGGTTTCAAAATGGTGCCAGGATGATCCCCATTGCGCAACATGCAGCGGCGCCGCTACTTGCGCGTGGTGGTTGGCATTATGGTTCTGCTCTTGGTTGCTCGCCCTGCGCATGCCTCGTTCACATTCGACGTGTCTCCCGTGAAAGCGAACCCCTTTGAGCTCGACTTCTTGGAGCGAGCACTGAAGCCAGGCGGTCAAGTTGTGTATTCGCGCACAGAGTACAAGAACCAACGATGCAGTGAGGTCATTCAATCATCGTCGTCGTCCACGGTCGACGGCGATCATGATGATACGATTATTGCATCCGCCAACGGGTTTGTGCAGGGCGCCGTTCGTGCGTACAACCAGCACCACCACTTGATCCTGCGGCCGGACGACGTCTGGCTCGCCATCATGACCCAGTTCGGTCTGTTTGTAAACGGACACGCCGAGGCCGTGCGCGACAAGCTCGTCAAACACAAGGAAGGCACGCAGGGGCTTGTGGTCAAAACCGTGGGCTCATTGCGCACGGTGGACCACGGGTTCCTGGCGACGCAACTGGTCCAGCAGATGACTGACCACCTTGTGGACCCGGCGCTAAGTGAGTGGGTACTTCCGTCGTTTAGCACGACCACGGACCACGACCGCGTCGTGGGGAGTGTGGTCATGCTCGCGGCTGCGAAGAAGTACTTTACGTACAAATCCGTGCTCAGTTGCGGGATCCCCAGCGTCACATTGCATGGGTCCGTGTCCGACTGGCAAGAGATTCGAAGGCGCGTCACCACCCTATCTCGCTTTGACCACATCCTCACGGCCAAGTGGCAGCGCATGCTTGAGCCAGTACTTGACCAATTCGTGGCCGCCGCAAACAACACGCCGGACGTTGGCTTTTGGCGGCGCATCTGCCATGCTGTAGGCGGAGGGTCGGGTCCGAGCTACCTTAGCGGATGGATCACACTATTTTCAGTGTTCAATGACCAGGGCGAGTGGATGGGCGATCCACGGACTGAGTCGGTCACAATGTGGCGAACGAGTAACGTCCAAGGCGGCGCGCCTGCGATAGAGGCGCATGTGGAGACCATTGGCGGCGATTTCCCCGTCGTGGAGATGGCAGATGTCGCGCCAGGCTACCTCACGGTGGACGTGACCGTAATCGACCACAGCGTTCGGTTTACTACTGTCCTGTTTGCAGGCCATTTGGCGTACAAAGTCGAGGGAAAGAACGCAATTCAGCCGACGCTGGCGTGGGCCATGGCCCTTAAACCCAGGGAAAGAAAAAACAAGGCGGCGGCGTGCGACCAAGACAGTCAGGTGTGCGTGGCGCCGTAGTGAAATAGGAGCCAAGTTCACCGAATTAGTATGAGACGTTTGTACCACAGTAGGAACGATGCTCATGGTTGTTGCCCGAGTACATATATTAATAGATACTACTAGATATAAATAATTGATTTTACGATGAAGAGCAATACTACTAGTATTAATATAATTGTTATTAATACCACTAACGTTGCCATAACGTTATACGTAGTTTGAAGTGGTACTTGGCAATATGTACGACATTGGATTGGCTGAAAAGGTCAGAAAAGAATCCAATCCACCAATCAGAGGCTTACTAGCGATCTAGAAAGGCTGTGAATCACGAAGATCGCATTTTCTCGACAGGTCGAATAATGGTGGCGCATGTGGAGCATGGTGATGGGGTGGTGGTCGACGTGGCCGTGATTGGAGGCGGTGTGGTCGGCACGGCAGTCTTCCGCGAGCTTGTCCTGCGGGGATACAACGTGACTTTGTTGGAAAAGAACGCGAACGTCGTGCATGGAGCGAGCTGCGGGAACTCTGGCATTGCGTGCACGGGCTACGATGCGCCGGAAGGGTCGCTCGAAGTGCGTACCATATACATATCCACGTTCAACGTGGAATCATTGACGCTGCGATCACTCTAGAGACGATGCATTCGCCGTGCCATGGAGCTCAATCCGGCCGTGTACCGCGAACTAGGCCTCCCGTCTGCCGCGGTGGGGAGTTTGGTGATTGCGTGGACAGCTCAAGACCTCGCCGCTCTGCCGCATACCGTCGCAGCCAATCACGCCATCGGTACGACTTCCCTAGTACGTCAATCATCCCGTCCGTCTCACAGGTCCGCTTGGGGTAGGAGATACTCAGGTGAAAACGCTGTCGGCGGCAGAACTGTACGCGCTGGAGCCACATCTCGCCGCCGGCGCGCTCGGCGCAGTGTTCGTCCCAGGGGAGATCGTCATCGAGCCATGGCTCATCCCTATCGCGTACCTCCACCACGGCCTTCGCAACGGCGGCACCCTTCGCGTCCACCACCACGTCGTTCGAGGAGCTTATGCCAATGTTCGTTGAAGAAGAATGAGCAGAAGAGGAACTCTCATATGTTTCATAGAACATGTGGACATTGCATTGCGAGTCGGCGGACGAAGTGCGGGCGCGCTGGGTGGTCAACTGCGCCGGACTGTACGGAGACATAGTCGAGCAAATCCATACCAATACTATGCCATTTCACGTAAGTTAGTGCTTGCATCCCTTGAATACAAATATATATATATATTGTGTATATATAAATACATATTTATTCATCTAGATAAAAAGGTTTGCATGGCATTGTATTCATGTTATTCTGTATAATTTTCATTACGCTTCAAAGCCATGTTATACATAGTAATGTTTCACCTTCGTCGCATATATATATGTATAGTGTGTATAGTACAAGTAATTTATACATTTTACACTCCGAGTAATTACGACATTGAATGGATACTGATAGTACTATCTATATATATATATATATGACCCAGTGTAAATGATGTACTTCTCGGGGTGCGTCATCGTCCATATAAATATATATATATATACTGTGATTTCAGACAAATTTTGGATATTTGTGCTGATTCACCAACTCCATCGGTCGATTCTGTTGTTTAGAGAATTTGTGAATATCCATCCATATTCACACACTAATTTCATTCACACACTAATATTGGTGACGCGAGCGTTTGATTGGCTCGTTGATGTTCGTGTTTCTGGGTTTTGATTTGCGTCGATCGATTTTGTGTGAGTCCCGCTCCAAATTCGAACTGACTTGATACATATATATATATGTATAGATTCACCCCCGCAAGGGCCAGTACGTGGTGCTGGACGCCCCGTCGTCCGTCATCACGCGCGTTTTGCAGCCGGTGCCCACCGACCGCACCAAGGGCGTGTTTGTGTTCCGCAACCTCCACGGCCTCGTCGTGGTCGGCCCGACGGCAGAAGACCAACACTCTCGAGAGGACATGACCAACACTCCAGACGTCGTCGCCACGCTGCGCGCCGCCGCCAGCCAAATCGTGCCGGCGCTGGCGGCGTGTCCTGTCGTCGGCACGTACGCAGGTAGATGAATATTCTATTTCCATCTCATTTTTTAAAATATATTTTGGTGATTTTTGGTGGTTTTTGGCCAAACCACAGAGATACACACGTGTAAGGAATGGATATTTAACCAAGTGTGTTCATTTTCTACATGTGTATATTGTTTACAATATCATATCTTGTGCGGTGTGTTAAATTGGATGTATATATATATATATATATATTTCCCATTTCAACACACACAACGATAAAACCATAGGGCCATACGAAACGTATTTATATATATATATATACGTTTAGTATGGCGGGGTTATGGTTCAACGGATCCTAGTTTTCTCTGCCGGAATCGATGTTATTATTATTATTTAAATTTTATAGGATTGCGGCCAGCAACCGAGCACCGAGACTACCATATCGCAGCGGACGGAGCCCACCAGTGGGTTGTCGTCGGCGGCATCCGGTCCACGGGGGTCACGGCGTCCTTGGGGATAGCTGAATATGTGGGCCAGTTGATCGGGGCCTGGTTCCGTCCTCGTCTGGCAGGACGCCACGTCATCGTCCCGTACGTCGTTCCGACCTTTCAAGAGCTGGCGATGCAATTCGATGGCACCTCAAATAGTGTGACTATCGAAGGCCTTGTGCACCAAGTGACACACCCGTTGACTCGATGGGGGTTGCAAAAGCTGCTCAAACAGCAGCAAGACACGTCGCGGTTGTAGCATCGAATTGGGTAGTGTCGTACTATATTCGCGGAATATATATATATATATTCAACGACGCACAGTACTTGGTAGTTAATAGTAGTATATTATAATGAAACGAAAATTGGTAGATTATCTTAGCACTATTAATTATTTGTTGTTAGGTTAATCGTATGGTCTTTTAATTTTATATATCGTGAATAATAATCAAGATGCGGAATGCTAGCCAAATTGTGTGCAAGTAAGATGATTTAACCGTCAACCACCATGACCGATGGGGTCGGTAGTAGTGGTGGAATTTACGCCAAGTAATGAAAAGGTGCCATACCATGTGATCGAAATCACAAACACACTGGTCACAAAATCCAGCCATAATCGTTATGATACCGTAGTTTTGGGGTAATACATTCACATTGAAAAGATATATACTCGATTTCTTCTTCACGTGGTTGGCGAAGCCTGGTGTTAAATGAGGTTAGCGTAGCCATCGTCCATGGAACTCTTCTTAGCACTTGCGGACTTGAGCGTCTTGGCGGCCACAAACGCAACCATCCCCACCCCAAACGACACGAGCGCTGTCGACGCCATCGGCAGCGACGACTGCATGTGGTCGCTGGTGGCTTGCAAGAGCACTTCGGCCAAGATGGTCGTATGGGCCACCCCTTGAGCGTTCAAAAATAGCTTGTACACGGAGGCCTTTTGGCACAGCACAAAGCCACACAGGACAGACGCCGCGCGGCCCAACGTTTTGCCGAGCGCAGTCGTGTACTGGGCTTGCAGCGAGTAGCACTGGAGCACGGCCTGCATGCAGTCGCACTTGAGCGAGAACACTCGGTACAAACACGCAATTGAGTATGGTTCGTTCTCAAACACGGATGGGTTGGTCACGGGGTTGCCGTTGATCTGGTCCGCCGTCGAGAGACGTCCGACGGTGTTGTCTTCAAAGCCTTCGCAAATGCCAGAGTACGTTGCGTGGAACGCCAGGTGATTGAGGTACTGACGGGCGTTGGAGAACTCGAACGCGCCGGTCTGGTACGCGCCGAGGGGGGCGTCTTCGGTTGGGTGGGCGTACACGTCCGTGTCGACGTGCTTGACACAGTCGGCGTCGTTGTGGGTGATGGCGGCGGCCCCAGCGTCCCCCAGCGTCCCCTCCAGTGTGCACTTGCCTGCATCGCCAAAGTAGGAGGGTAATCCCGAGATCGTAAACAGCTCTAAGTGGTGCGAAGGCACCTTTTTGAACGAGATCGTTAGGGGGGTGTACTCGTCGCCGTCGGACGTCGAGTTGATCACAATGTCGTCGCAGGTGCCCGTGTCGCCGTTCACGGGACGAATCACTAGGTCTTGCAGGTACGCGTAGTCGTCTTCGCGGTTCTCGTTGAGGTAAAATGGGTACCCGATCGTGGGAGCGTAATGCGCTAACGTTTTCTCGGCTACGCACACATAGGGTGCCGTGAACGCGGTGGCCTTGGGGTTGGGTTTGAGCGTGACGTGGCAGTTGGTGCGCTTGGTGCAGGACCCATCGGGCACAGTACTAGCCAGCTGGGGGTGCAGGATCGAATGGCCAATCGTTTGCTTAACCTCGGTCAGGTACGAGATGAGCGCTTGGTTGCACGCGACCTTGAGCCCCCCGAGTCCGTTGGCGTCGTCGAGCGCGTTGAAGTCGATGGATGTGTCGCCTTGGACGACGTTGTTGCAGTAGTTCAAGTACTTGTCGGCTCGAACCAACGATCCGTACACAGGGTCCGTGTCCGTGTAGCCGTTGCCTCGGTTGTCAAAGTAAATTGGCACTTCGACCACGACGTTGGCCCACTTGATAAAGTACTCGTCCGGCAACACACACGAGTACCCGACGTGGGTCCGGTTCCCGATCAAGTCAAAGTCGGTCGTGCCGGCAATGTACCCCTTGGTTAGACGCAGCTGGTTCTCGGTTACATCCAACAGCTTGGCGTACGTCGACTTGTAGTACGTGACCAGCTGGAGAATCTCATGGGCGAGGCACGAACTCACGCACGCCGTGTAGCCCCCCAAGCTTGCAAATGCGCCCCACGGATCTCCTGCGTAGGGATCGTACGAGTCGTCCTTGGAGCACTGCGATGAACATGTGCGGAAGTGCGAGAACACGGCCTTGTGGTGGTTCGGGTCGAATGCCTTGAACGGCGGCTTGAAGTGCACTACGTTCGTGCCGTACACTTCGGCGGACGCAGTCCACACTGCCAACGCCGAAGCAATGATCAGTTGTTGAGGAGCTAGCATGCTTGCTATGGAGTTGCAATGCAAATGCAAGAGTGGGCAGAGTGACCACGACTTCCCAAGATCGCAATGTAGGATCTGAAATATTTCGCGCCAATCAAAACGTTCGGTGATTTTTGGGAACCAATCACACGCGTTCGAGTCGAAGTAACCGACGATATCCGGATAAAGGTCTGTGTGATGCGCATCAAATCGACGTGAAACCCCCACCTCATTTCTTACGAAATCTATGTGAAAACTCCAACATTTTAGTTAACATACTAGTAGTACATAAATGCGGAACGTTGGCCATAACGTTATCTGCATTGTTATAGCCAATCACTGGTCACGATGACAAAGATTGGATATGAAATTTTGCGCACCAATGAAACCCGCCGCCGACTTTGACATTGTCGTGCCTCTCAAAGATCTCACTTTCGAAAACGCCGACTTTCGATGAAGATCAGCTATCTTCTCGCAGCCTTGGCGCCGATTGCATTGCATGGACCGACCCTTGTCGGTGCCAAAGAAGCGTATGGAACCACGACGACCACTGCCGCCCCGTCCTACGGATACGCCACACCAACCACTACTGCCATCCCTGATGACGACGGCTACGGCTACGAAGAAACTGAAGCCCCAACAACTACCCGTCGCCGCTATACTCGACCGACCACTACTGTAGCCCCTGATGACGACGGCTACGGCTATGAAGAAACCGAAGCTCCGACAACTACCCGTCGCCGCTATACTCGACCGACCACTACTGTAGCCCCTGATGATGATGGCTATGGCTATGAAGAAACCGAAGCCCCGACAA